ATCCTTCATCCTCTCTCCCCCTCCCCCTCCTTCTTTTCACCCATTCCCTTCCCTTCCTTATCACCCCCTCTCTCCTACCCTCCCTCTACCCCGTCTTCCCCCTCCTTCCACCCTACCCCCCTTTCTCCTCCATAGGTCTGATCTTCGAGGAGTGCAAGCAGATATTTTCGGCCGGCGCCAAAGACTACTTTGCTTCCTTCTGGAATATCATGGACTCTATCATGTTGAGTCTATTGCTGGCCTCCTTTGTCTTAGAGCTTGTCACACCCATACGGTTAAACCAGGTAAGTTGGTAGCCTAAATATGCTCAAATTGTCGAGACGGACAGACAGACAGACGGACAGACAGACAGACTCGTCAGACTCATGCGGCACAACCATATACGTCACTTGACTAAATCTGCTTTAAAAAAAGAACTATTCCCCAATCTCCTTTAAAATAAGCCTAAATCTGATTGAAAATACTCCCAGATCTACTAGAAAAGGTGTCTGACCATCAATGATTTATTTATAGAGGCACCAGCCATCCATGTCCAGGTGCTGTTTTAGCCCCAATCAACTATAAAAGACACATAAATCTGCTCAAAAAGACACCTAAATCTGTTTCAATATACCTGGATCCATGGAGGTGTCACAACTCTGACTCAGGGGTTGACGTGTAATGACCCTACACCTTTCACGGTCGCGAGCTGCCGTTGCACATTCTGCCATATCCAGGCCTTCCATGTTCTTATGTTGTCCATCCATGTTATTCCTTGCCTTCCCCTGGCTCTCATGCCCACATCTTTCCTTCAAGCACCTCTTTCACAATGGTCTCGTGTCGTTTTAAGTGACCATAGTATTGTATTTTTCTGCATTTCAATATAATATCGTTTTACATTATTCTCCATCCCCGCTCCTCCCCTCCCCCGTTATACCAGGCCGAGCCGTACGACGAAGGCGGTGGGGCAACTACCCCCGGCGCCCCAGTCTTCCAGAACTACCAGCCCCCCGGCCCGGCGCCCAACAGTTCCACCATGCTCAGCATGCTTCTGCAGGCCTCGGGTTCCAGCACTCCCTCCCCCCTCACCCATATCCGCGGGATGGTGTGTCAGCAGGCGAGGGAAGCCGCGGCCAAGTCCGAGTCCAACTTTTGTATCCACCCCACAGGAGGGGACTTTGAAGGTAAGGCATGGAGAGATTAGGTTCGAATCTTTCTGTGGAATGCATGGACATTTCTTAAACCCAAATATTGCGCACAAGCAGGAAGCCATATGCTAGGGAAAAAAGACGACGAAAAGAAGAAAAACGAAAAGATTTTGTCAGTGTTTTAGTGCATATTGTCAGTGTGCTAGTGTTTTCGCTTTAACAGTGGGAGATGGAGAGATTTTATTTGAAACTTCTTTTTGAGCTCATTACAATTGGACATTTTCCCAAACAGAAAAATTGCACCCAAGCAAGAAGAGTAATAAATTATAACAAGGAAGAAAAGAAGAAGTAAATGAAAGAGAGGTAAAAAGAAGAAAACAAAAGAGATTTTCTCAGTGCGTTAGTATTTACTTTTGAGCAATGGGAGAAGGAGAGATTTTGATCAAAACTTCCTTATGAAAGCATTCTAATTAGAAGTTCCCATATCCAAAAAACTGCGCTCAAGCAGAAAGCCAAAAAAAAAAAAGAAGAAGAAAAATGAAGCAAAAAAAGGAAGGAGTTAAAAAAAAGAAGAGAAAAGAAGAGATTTTGTCCGTATGTTAGTGTTTACTTTTCAGCTTACGGGAGTAATCTTAAACTATTTTTTTTCTGGTCTCAGTTAGGCCTACATTAAGGTGTCAAGAGAAGAAGCAAAACGTCTTTCTCTTGTTTGTCATATCGCCTGTGTCTAAAGTGTGTGGGTGCTTATTCGTGTGGGTGGTTGGCGGGTGCTCTGGGGTAGTTTGCTTCTTCTTTCCTATCAAACGTCTATCGTCCTTATCTCCCCTTTTTCTTTTTTTATGTTTGTTACTCTCTTGTAACACCTCTAATCTTCTGGCGCTCATATGACCTTATGCAGTTGCGAGCACCGTAAAACTTCTACTAAACTAAAACTGCTTATTCGTCTGTTTGCACTATGTTCTTATCGGGCAGCTGAGAATGTTTCTGTGTGTTTTAGAATCCTCTCGCGGGTATAGGTACATGTAGTTGTAGAGAGCATGACGCATGATATAACTGTAGGTAGAGCATGCGCTGTATTTTTAATAGTAGTAAGTGTTGTTCTTGTAGTAATAGTCTTTGTAGAAGTAGTCATAGTAGTAGTGGTGGTGGAAATGTTACTACTATTATTCTTATTCTTATTTATTCTTCTTCTTATTATTATTATTATTAATGTTTTCGTTTATAGTTTTACGTTTACGCCTCCCGTTTATCATTTGTGTTGACCTCCTCCATTCCCCATATCCCTGTTTTTTATCCCCCCCCCCCCCCACCAGTCCACACGCACACACCTCGCTCCTATCCTTCCCCCAATCAAAAAAAAATGTCTAATGTGTTTTTTTTAACACCTCTATTGACACAAATCAAATAATTTAGGAGATGGAGATTCTCGATAGAAGAAATTGCTTTCCTCACGGTTATTGCACTCAGGTCTTCTTCGTGCGATGGTGAAGTGGCTACCACCTACACCACAGACGATTATCTACTCTTCCAACAATATATATATGGTCGCTTTTTAGCACAAGTGGGCTGTCCCGAAAAATGCTGTTTTGAGAAAATCGAAGTTAAAGTTTTTGTTTTGGACCTGTGTTCAGTTTCTTTAAAAGACAAGGAGAGTTTTTCTCTATAACCAAACAAATATACACACCAATGAAACCAAACTTCACCTATAGGTAGGGCAATGCCCACTTTTGGTGTAGGTCAAGATTTCTGGAAACCCCCGAAATGTGGGTTAGCCCGCTTGTTCGTAAAAGTGACCATATCAGACATTAGAAAACAATAATACAAACGGTAGATCTATTTAATGTGTCTGTCGTGATGAAAAAGGTAACCACCTTCACGGCTATACTTCGTCTGGACCTTGCTTGGGTTAAGGTGTGAGGCATTAATTATTGTGATTAGATCGCAGTATTATTTTTTAAATTTGAATCTGAAATACGCAATGCAAATTGTAGTCTGCTACTACTAATAGACTGTTTCATTAATACCATTTATTATGTTGAAAAGGTACGACCTAATTCGCAGCCTTATAGCGTCTAAATATAGGCAAGAATGAGTTGAGAGGCAATACATCATTGTGATTAGATTGTAGTTGCATTTTTCTGAATCTATAATATTCCCTCTGCAAATTATTGGCTGCTGCTACTAATAGATTAATCCATTTCGTTTTTCTTTCAGTTGGTGTTTATGGTGTTGATGGTGTGTAAATATGTTTTGCTTTCAAGGAATGTCATTTTAATGCTTCAAGAATATTTCATTCACTTAGCTATATTCACTTTCCTGTCGAAATATGGATGGTCCCCCACCCAGCCCCGCAACTACTTTGCTTCTCTCCCCCCCCCCCCCCTTTTTCCTGACATGAGTGATCATTATATTATGGTCGTGCTTCTTTTTACTCATCTTCTATACCTTCCACTCCCCATCTCCCCAGGACTTAAAGGCAGTAAGATATGTGGCGTCGGCGGCCTATAGTAGCTACGCTTTCAGACTCGCAGCCGTAAGGTCGTGGGTTCGAATCCTGTCAGGGGCCCAACGTAGTGTCCTTGGGAAATGCACTTTACAAAAAGCTTTCCTCACTACCCAGGTGTCGAGCGGGCAAATGCGCTATACAAATGCTGTTTATTATTATTATTGTTACTACTAATTTCTCCTTGCATAAAATTCAAAATCCAACCCCCTCCCCCAGTGCAGTGCTACTGACTGAAGTGTCTTTAGGCTATTCTCAAGGGGGGATATCAACATGTTCTTGTGCACAGTAGAATTGTAAATGGGCTGATTTATCAATTTCATGCTCATACTGTGCCAGAATAACGTAGGGGGAACTGCTGCTTTTTCTTGCCTCATCCTTACTATCGTCATTTCCCCCTCTACATTTGTAAGTTTGTCGCTCTCTTGTGAACTGCTATTTCTGGGGTGCCTTGATAGTCGAAGCAGACTTTGTGCTTCTGAGGCTAGAGAGGTGAGCAGAGTTAGCCTGATTTCCCACTTCTCTATTGACATCCACCCCTTGGCACTCATGTGACCTTATGCAGTTGCGAGCGCCGTAAAACCTTACTAAAACATATCCAAATCTGGTCCATGACCCACTTTTATTTGTAGTATGCCCCGGAAATGTAAACTGCCCCCCCCCCCTCGCCTGAACAAAGCTGTGTCGTAATCCTCTTGGAAGTCGTGTTTTCTCTATAGGTACCAGTACATGACCTTTTAAAAAAAAAAATTTTTTTTTACTTCAAATCTATGCTTCGCAACCCGAAAAATGAAAAAAATCAGGCTCAACAATTGATTTTTTTCAACGGTATGTTTTTGTTGCTTCATAAATATCTATCCTTCATCTTTGAGCTTGACACTGAGTTTTTATTTTTTTTAAAAATGAATACATAAATAATTTGTTAAAAAAAACGATGTACCTAATGCGCACTCTCCGGAGTGACCGTGAGGGTCACACAGAGGTTGCAGCCATGTCCTACAGAAGCAGGAAGGATACGTTGTGATCCACAAGGGAATTTTAAAATATTACGTTTTTGTGTCTGTTTTTAAGAGACGGTATATACAGAGTGAGCTAGAAAAAAGCGACTGCACGACTTTTTTTTCTGAAGATCTCAGATGGAATTTGTACGAGAACGTTGTAATCTGGAGCATGTTTGATTCATTCAAAAGGAATTTGATTGACATAAAATTCATAAAGAAGAAACTTATTTTCTCAGACAGAAATGGCATTCATTAAAAAAACAAACAACAACCCATAGACGCAAAATGCTCCAATTAAAAAACAATCTTTTAAGGAAAGTCTTGCTGTCTGCCCTTTACTTATCTTAACCATGATCTCAGCAGGCACAGGGGACTTGAGAAAAACAATATCTGCAAACTTCTGTTGGCCTGTTAGACAACTGTAGCTTGCAATATGGCGCGATCGCTAGGACTTTTAGTGGTACGCCTAATGCGACTAGTACGTCATACTACCAAAATGGGGACGTAGCTGAGATTTGGTTGTTTCTTTTTAACGCGCTTTGTAGAGCTAAACTATTTTGTGGATATATCTAAAATAAACGTCTCACAAATTGCTTTTGACTCCAAAATGTTGTGTGCGAATTTGAAACGCCGAACTTCAGAGTGAAGGAAAATAATTTTCTTAAAAAGTTGTTTCTTCTTGGACCACCGTGTACTTTACTTTCTACATGTCCATAGAAAAAAGACAAGTATACTGCATCGCTTTCCTCTTAATTACGTCATGTTCTCTTTTCCAGGCTTATCATTTTTGTCTTTTCATGTGTATGTCTCTGACCGCTGGTTTGTTCATATCAATTCCGTGTCTGTTCGCTTGACATCAAGTTGATAGAATGTCTCATTTAGGGCTTAGCACGTTTTGTCACCAAGTTCAGTGGGCTCTGCTGCTTTGCTGGGTTGTCGCTTTGGAATGAAACTTTTCTTCATTCAAACACCTTTGTGCTTGTGTTACCAGATTCTCCTATGGTCGCCATTTGCCAAACTGCTCGCTGTATTTGATGTCTCCATTTCAAATGTAGAGAACTCTGAAAAGATTTGTCAAAAGATTTCTCTACTTTTTCATTTATCACTCGTACTTGGAATATAATATTGTTAAGCAATATTTCTTATCAAGAAGGATCATGAACTTTCTTTCAGACTGTCCTCTATCTTTACTTTACCTTTTTCTTCCTCTGTCTTCTTTCCCTCCCCCTCTCTCTCTATTGTTCTCTCTCTCTCTTTCTCTCTCTCTATTGTTCTCTCTCTCTCTCTCTCTCTCTCT